AAGCAAGCAGGAGGTTTATCAGTGTTCCCCACGCTTGTGTCCACTTGTCCAGGCCTCTCTGGAACATGAAGAGGGGAAGATCCTGCGCCTGCAGCTTGAGCTCAACCAGGTGAAGTCTGAGATTGACAGGAAGATAGCAGAGAAAGATGAGGAGATCGACCAGATGAAGAGAAACCACCTCAGAATTGTGGAGTCCATGCAAAGCACCCTGGACGCTGAGATCAGGAGCAGGAATGAAGCCCTGAGACTGAAGAAGAAGATGGAGGGAGACCTGAATGAAATGGAGATCCAGCTCAGCCATGCCAACCGTGTGGCTGCCGAGGCGCAAAAGAACTTGAGAAACACCCAGGGAGTGCTCAAGGTTTGTGAAGCTTGGGATGTGCACATAGGAATCTCATTTGTGTAATATCATAGAATCATTGATTTTTTGAAGCATTTGTGTTGAAGGAGACCCACAAAGTTTATCTAGTCCATCCCCTCTGCCATGGGCAAGCCCCATCGAACCTGACCTTGAACACTTCCAGTGGTGGCACATCCTCAACATGCACTCACTGGATACCAGCGAGAAGAGATCAGCACCTCTCTCTGTCCTGCCCCACCTTAGAGAGCTTCAGAGCAAAGAGGTCACCTCTCAGCATCCTTTTTTGCAAACCAGACAACCCTCATGTCCTCAACCACCCTCAGACAACATGCCTTCTAGTACTTTCTCTTGCTTTGCTACCTTCCTCTAGATGCATTCATGTCCCATAATATCTTTCCTAATTGCAGGGCCCAGAACTGCACACAGTACTCGATGGGAGGCCACACCAAAACTTTATAAAACAGGAATTCAGAACCAACTGTGCCTTGGCTTTTGTAAGCCTATCCCCACACATCTGGGCAGCATCGCTATATTCTTCTCAGGATATATGTTCCTGGTTCTACTGCCTATGTATTTCCTTCTTACACTGGAGTTTGTTCTGGAGCTCCTTGCTCAACCACGCTGTTCTCCTGCCTTCCTTGCCTGACTGCCTCCATGTGGCAATGTAGAGCTCTTGCACTCTAAGAAAAATGTTCTTAGCTCTTTTCTGCTTCTTTGCTCTTGAGGGCAATTTCTCAAGAGGGTTCACCCAGTAATTCCTTAAAAACTGAAAGTCCACTCTCTTAAAATTCAGTCTTGACCTTACTCTTCAACTGGCCCAGATTCCTCAAAAAAAACTGAAAGTCCACTCTCTTAAAATTCAGTCTTGACCTTACTCTTCAACTGGCCCAGATTCCTCAAAATCATGAATACCACCAGGGAATGATCACTGCAGCCCAGTTTGCCATCCCTAATTAGTTCACTTCTGTCAGTAAATAGCAGGCCCAGTGACAGTTTTTCAGTAGGCAGCCTATCCCCTAAAGTAAGATATTACCCTTGATGCACTCCAGGAATCTCCTGGACTGCTTACAGCTTTCTGTGCTGCTTTTCCAGCAGATGTCAAAGTGATTGAAGTCTCCTAGCAGGACTGGGTCATGCAAACGTGATGCTTCCAATAGTTGAAGTTATGACAGTCGTTTACAAGTCTCCCCTTGGTCAGGATCTTCATAGTAAGCACCAGCCATAAGGTTTCCTTTATTTGGCTTGGCCTCTAAGTTTTACTTATAAGCTATCAACCTGACAAATCACTGACAAAGACAGCTCTGTGCAAACAATCCATGGACACCACTTTCTCACCCTTCCTTCTTTGACCTGTCCTTGTCCCTTTGTTGTCCCTTCTGAACATTTTATAGCCATTGATGCAGCACTCCAGCCATGTGATTCATCCCACCAGGCTCCAGTGACAGCAATTAGATCAGAGTTTTCTAGGTGCATAGGGGCTTCTAATTCCTCCTGTTTGTTACCCCTGCTGCATGCATTGGTATAGAGGCACCTCAGTTATCACATTTTTCAACCCCAGAGCATAGTACCTGTTACAAAGCAGCACTTCAGAGGATGAAGGGAAGTTCTTTCTGCAACCCCAAGCAGGGACAAAGGTCCAGTTTCCTTTGTCTTGGAAGTTTTGTCAGTCAGTTAGAGTTTGAATTCAGGCTTGCCTTCCCCTTGCACAACCGAAAATTTAGGCAGGGCTGTCACTCAACCTGGGACAATACCATGAACCAATTTCCTGCTTACATTCTTAGGTATTGTGCATTTACTGACAATAATTTCACATATAAATACATAATTATATATATTATACTGCCATAGTAATTACTGGACTGGTGGCAATTGCATCAGTGTTGTGAGGCCTTATAATTTCTCTTTCCTCTCTTAAAGGACACCCAGATCCATTTGGATGATGCTCTCAGGACCCAGGATGACCTGAAGGAGCAGGTGGCCATGGTGGAGCGCAGAGCAAACCTGCTGCAGGCTGAAATTGAGGAGCTACGGGCAGCCCTGGAGCAGACGGAGCGGTCGAGGAAAGTGGCTGAGCAGGAACTGATGGATGCAAGTGAGAGAGTTCAGCTCCTCCACACTCAGGTTAGACTCATGAGATTCAAAAAGCCATGAGCCTTTTCTTTCCTTTACAGTTTTAAACTGTGCCAATTCTTAAATCAACAGTTCTGATAAAAAAACTTCACCTGAAGCAGAATTAGTAAACTTGTACAAAGAAATGGATTACAGCTAAATGAGTAGGATTGCATCAGCAGTCAGAAAGGCTTTTTTAAATATTAAGAACTCTCTGCTATCTAGCTGTGTATGACCTCACAAGATACATCAGGAGGGTCTTAATATTAGATATATAGAAGATAACTTTACATTGAAACAGTACATTCCTAAAATAAGTGTTCTCTTTTGGAACTAACTGGACTAAATATTTATTGTTGCACAGAACACCAGCTTGATCAACACCAAGAAGAAGCTGGAGACGGACATTTCTCAGATTCAGAGCGAAATGGAGGATACCATCCAGGAAGCCCGCAATGCTGAAGAGAAGGCCAAGAAGGCCATCACAGATGTGAGTCGGGGCTCCTTTCATTGCTGGTGGTCAGTGTATTCTCCCCAAAATGTCT